ACCAGGGGTTTGACTTCAAAGCCCTTGATCTTCCCTCAACACTGAGCGCTTCCCTGAATGGCGGGGAGTGGCCGGGAACTCCCGTAAGCGGGTGTTATGGGAAGAGGACCTGGCGGTATGATGGTCTCTCCATACCCGGAGTCTGCCTCACCGGGCTTCTAAGTTATGGGCTGACCATCTGGAGGAAAGCGCCTGGTTTAAGATTTTCTTTGTGGAAATAGATGGAGACCAACCACATGAAAAAGGCAAAAGCTGTTTATTCAGAGTTTAGGGTTTGGTGGAGACCCCAAGGCGGCTGGGGGTGGGAGAGCCTCCTGGTGGAGAAAGTGGGACCCAGGGGCCTCGATGGGGCTGGGCCCTGGGGAGCTGGGCAGCTACTGGAAGGGGCATCCCTGGTGACAGGTAAGTGGAGCAGGGTTGGCTTTCTCAGGTTGGCACTGAGCAGGAAGTGGGGCAAAATTAGGGGAGCTGTCAGTGACTGATCCCCTCCTGGCTGACTGTCACCAGAGGTATTGTCCAGCTTCCTGGACTGTGTCTGGGGACAGCAGCTGACTTCCTGCAGCTGACTCCGCACTGGCTGGCTTCCCGGTTCTGTCTGTACAGGAGGCCTGGCCACTGTCTGTCTGCACAGTCCGTCTCTCGTCTTTCTCTTGTTAGTAAAAATATTAAATGACAAATTAGAGATGTTGGGAATTCTTTAGATGTTCTGTGTCACCTGGAAGAAGTTTTTCACACTGATGTTAATCAGAGTGACTGTAAACTGTTGGACCATTAACCTCAGAGATTGAAACCAGGATGGTTTCAGCAGCATTTCCTCGACGTCATTACATCCTCACTCATCGCTATGAACGTGTTTTTGTCCACACCAGTTCTCGTCATTGGTGTGTGTTCCACCCCTGCACAGCTCATCTTTGTGTTTCACTGTGTGTGAGTCTAGCTTGTCCCCTGTCAGTGAAGTGTACTTTTGCTACCTTTGTTGGTACCTAGGTTTCGCTTGTGGATTTGCAAATTGAAAGGAGCTCAGAAATCTCCTAGGTCAGCCCACTAATTTTATAGATAAACTGAGATGCAAAGCCAGGAGTAAAGTCCACTGCTCTGTCTGCCTCAGAGTGATCGATGGAAAGACGAAACATGTGGTCTAAAATGAAGTCTTTTGATAACTGATTTTAATACTTCCCTACTTCTGCCTATTGTTATCACAGAAACCTAAAATTGGCTTTTATGTGTTACGATAAAGGTAAAAAACATTGATTTGTTTACGCACAGGGTACCTTCTCTTCCTACTCATTCAGTTGCTATCTCAACATGGTTGAAAGGTCATAGTTAGGGACTGAATTGTGTCCCCTCCCAACGCCCACCCCCGTCCACACCCCTGCCCCCTGGCAGGGCCAGTACTCTTGTTCATGTTCTTGCAATTGCATCTTGTCATTTAATAGCTTCCTGCCTTCTCTTGTTCCTCTCCCATCTGTTTGGATGGTGTGGTGTCAATCAGGTGTGGTGTCCTGTTTTTAGCGTTCCACGTCTGTGCGGACTCGGTGATTTTCTGCTCCTAAGGGAAGTGCCAGTTCCTCAGCTAGGCGTTCAAGGCTTTGTGATCTGGGTGCGGCTACTAGTTTGGATTTCTTTCTTTCTAGTACTCTTGTCAACTTGACGCGGCTTGTTCCTTACGCCCCTTTCTGAAGCCTGGCTAAGGGCCGGCTTCGAGTTGGTGCTTCCCCATGTGTGTCTGCTCTCTGTCCTCAATGCCCTTGCTCCCTCTGCCTCTTCAAGTCCACCCGCCCTTCAGGGCTCGGCATGTTCCCTCTTCACAGTCCCCCCGACACCCAAAGTTGCTCTTTTCTCCTTAGAACTCTGACAGGACCTACACTTTGCTTCTTACTTAATTGACACAGTGACCTTGTCAGTTGGTATTACTCGTTGCCTTATGCCGCTTATAATCGGGTTAAAATATTTACTTCAGCCCTACATTTGGAATGTAATATAAGCAAAGGAGTAACATTCAAGAGGCCCCGGAGAAGGAAGTCACACTCCCGTCCCTGGTCCCCATCCCGTAACCACAAGAGGCCCTGGAGAAGGAAGTCACACTCCCGTCCCTGGTCCCCATCCCGTAACCACAAGAGGCCCCGGAGAAGGAAGTCACACTCCCGTCCCTGGTCTTCATCCCGTAACCACAAGGGGCCCCGGAGAAGGAAGTCACACTCTTGTCCCTGGTCCCTATTCCGTAACCACAAGAGGCCCCGGAGAAGGAAGTCACACTCCCGTCCCTGGCTCCATCCTGTAACCACAAGAGGCCCTGGAGAAGGAAGTCACACTCCCGTCCCTGGTCTCCATCCCGTAACCACAAGAGGCCCCGGAGAAGGAAGTCACACTCCCGTCCCTGGTCTCCATCCTGTAACCACTGTCACCAGTTTCTTCTGAATCTTTCCACAGACCTTCTGGGCCTTTATGGATGAGTGTGTTCTTTCCAAACACACAGGTGGCATCATGGAAACGTGGTCTGCTACTTGTTTCCTGTTACGAGGGCCTAGGCTGTCCCCAGTCTCTGGGGTGGGGGCAGTGCTGCCCTGTGCACAGCCCGTCACATCTGCCGGGCACATCCATGAGGTGGCCCTAGAAGGGGATTGTGGGATCCCAGGCTGTGTGCACTTTCATTCAGACTGGTCATGCTGGGTCCCTCGCACGGGGGTTGGCATGTGTGCCCTCACTGTCTGTATGAAACAGGGCCTGTTTTCTACCTCCTTGCCAGTACAGCATGTCCTTAAATGTTCCGTTCCTTGCCAATCTTGTAGATAGGTGAAAACCTGTCCCTGTTTAAAGAATAGGAAACTGATGCTAAGGGAGATTAGGTAGGTAATTTGCCTGGTCCCACAGGAGATGGCTAAACTACAGCTTGAATTTAGTCTCCTAATTGCCAAGTTTCTTTTGAGGTAAGCTGGTGTGAAATCTATATTGCCTTTGACAGGTTCATAATTATGTACTACTTAGCCCCTCTCCTGGATCATAAGCCTGTGTGTGTGTGTGTGTTTGTAAAGAAAGGAATTTTGATATTTGGAGAATTTTTTACTGAGAGTCTAGGACATTCCTGAAAACATAATGCTTTTAAACCTAAAACCTATCTAAGTTGTCTTTTGACTTTTTAAACCTTTTGCTACAGAGCTTTATTCTAAGGGGGAAGTCCAGGCATTTTATCTTCTAGGACTGGCATTTTCTTGGTGAGGAAAGGGAGGGGGTTCTGTTAGTACCCTTTTAACTTGTGGACGTCTGCTGTGCTCAGGTAGTTGTGTTTGCATGTGATTTAGACGATGGCGGAGCGAGTGCAGTTCGGACATTGTTTGCTTCCTTGTTAACTCTTTCCTGCTTTCCTTTTTCTCTTCATTCCCCCCAGACACCCTCCTTCTTATCCCGCCACCCCACCAAGCTTTGTTGTCTGTCCGTTGGTTACACATACATGCAAGTTCTCTGGTTTATCTCATCCCCCACCCCTCCTCCTGCTTTCCTTTATGCTCTACAGTGACAGCATGAAGTCTGCCTGTGTAGCCACTGGGTTTAGCTGTCATTCAGAGAAAGGGGACCCCTAGTAAGGAGCATTGCACACCAACCTTAGTCCTGAAAGGTTGTGCATAGAAATTTAGATATTGTCAAGCTTCCCAGGTAGATGAATTGAATAGTACAACTCATATGTGAATTATGTGTGTACAGTGGACATTTAACTTACGACACAAGAACCGAATGACACTATTTAAGACAGCCCTTCTGGCAAATTCCCAAGTGCCCTCTTATTAAAACAATATGGAAGTTTTGTGTTCATACTGAAAGTGTGTGTGTACACTCACCCGATGGCTCTGTATTTAATGAGTGGTCACTAGTGTTGCGGTTCCACTTTGAACTTGCTTATCAGCTGTAACCTTTCTAATTAGGTGGGTTTTGTGTTGGTCATTGGGCCAGAGATAAACTGTGAATTCTTCTTCCTCTGTCCACTAGATTCTCTTTCTGATGGATGATCTTAATATCTCACTGGGCTTTACTGTTTCCCTAACAGTGTGAGTTAGGACCCAGGCCAGGCAGTTCCATGAGAAATCGTACTCATCGTCTAGCTGTGCATGTTTTCAAGGCGAGCAAAACGGTTTTCATGGGCTTCCTTCCAGCATTCTCCTGGGAGGCAAGAGGCCTGGCTTTGCCCTGCTAAGAGCAATGACCAGCGGAGCTTCCCCAGCGGGCCAGGTCTGTTCCCTGGTCCAAGTGGAGCAGTGGATGGTATGTTTTCTAAGCAGCCTCTGCAGCCTGGTTATTCACTGACCCGTTCTCTGTACTGTGCCAAGGGGCAGAAATGACAACCAAACCACTAGGGGATCCCAGTCCAAATTCAGATGCAGGAGGAAGGCGAACAGCACTGGCAGGTACACAGGCTGCAGGAGCTACTGGTTCCCAACCCCTCAGTGGTGGGTGTGATGTGAGAGAGGCACGAGGTTGCTTAGAAATTTTCAGTTGTAGCCCTAGCCGGTTTCGCTCAGCGGTTAGTGTTGGCCTGCGGTCCAGAGAGACCCGGGTTCGGTTCCCGCCAAGGGCATGTATCTCGGTTGCAGTTTGTCCCCGGTCCTGGTTGGGTTGTGTGGATGGCAACCATTTGATGTGTCCCTTTCACATTGATGTTTCTCTCTCTCTCTCTCCCTCTCCCTCTCCCTCTCCCTCTCCCTCTCCCTCTCCCTCTCCCTCTCCCTCTCCCTCTCCCTCTCCCTCTCCCTCTCCCTCTCCCTCTCCCTCTATCTGAACAAAAAACGAATAAAAGATGTCCTCGGGTGAGGATAAAAAAAAGAAAAAGAAATTTTCAGTTGTTGAACCTTGAGTTCTCACAAGACACAAGAAAGATGGATGGTGTCCTGTGTTTGCAGAACTAGAAGGTGCTACGGTTCACCTGTATGTGCCCAGCCTGCACTTGATTTAGGTGCGTTGAGTTCTGTCTTCTGTTTCTGCCTTCCTGATGCACCTGCTTGTTTCTACAGAACAGTTGCAGTGAAATCCTTTGAGGCACTGACTAGAAGAATAGATGCTCATTGAGAATCATTCCAATAGTACTGAAGATAGAAAGCAAAAGGTGAGTGTTTCTTTTCTCTGCCTTTGGGGAAACCTTGAGGAGTTTTGGGTTATTTGCTTCTAGATCTTTCCCAGTGTACTTACAAATACATATGTGCAGTTCGGGGTATTTAAAACAAGATAGTGAGTGCTTGGTGCCCACTGTCCGTGCACTGCCCCACCCTCGCGGTCTGCTCCGTGCCCTGTCACGTGCTGCAGGGAGACCTAGTCGACCCCTTGGCCCCGCCTGCAGAGTAAAGACAGCGAGCGCTCACACCCGTTCACCGCGCACTCGCCACGCACTCGCCACGCGCCGGTCCTGCATGCTGAGCTCCGTACACGGATTGGGGCTTGAGGCTTTTCACACCAAGCCTGTGGCTGAATACTGTTATTTAACAGGTTACAAATGGTAAAACTGTGGTAGACAGAAGCTAAGCTCCTTCCTCAAGCTCATGGCATTATTTCCAAGAGAGAGAATGCATTTACAAAACTTGTTAGATTCAAGTTATTTACAGTCACTCATTTCAGGAAACATTTCTTGAGTGCATTGTGTGTTGGAGCTTTTCCCGAAAGCATGTGTGGGAATGGGGTGGAGGGCACGGTTCAGAGGCCCTGGGCCCCGCCCATGCGAGGAGGGTGGGCCCTGCGAGGAAAGGGGCCGGGAGCGGTCCCTGCACAGTCCTGCGGCATCACTTTCACTGCAGTCTGGCCCCAGGTCCCGTTCTTGTACACACACGTTTCAGAGATACGTACTTAGTTTGGATTTCTTTGATGGCTCACCTGAGATCGAGTGCCTATTATTTATTTATTTATTATTTATTTTTTTGGTTAATCCTGAGGATATTTTTCTGTTGATTTTTTAATATGTGTTTTTCTAAATTGATTTTTTAGAGAGAGAAACATCAATGTGAGAAACATCAATTGGCTGCCTCCTGAACACCCCCTACTGGGGATTGAGCCCGCAACCTGGGCACGTGCCCTGACCGGGAATTGAACTGGGACCTCTTAGTCCATGGGGTGACACTCAATCCACTGAGCCACACTGGCCAGGTTCTGTTGATTTTTTTAGATAGAGTGGAAGGGAAGGAGGGAGGGAGGGAGAGAGAAATATCAGTGTGAAAGAGACATCAATTGGTTACCTCCTGCACGACCCCGACTGGGACCAGGGATTGAACCTGCAACCCAGGTATGTACCCTTGACCGGGAATCAGACCCTTGACCGGGAATCAGACCCTTGACCCTTCCGTCTACAGGCTGACGCTAGAACTGTTGAGCCGAACTGGCCATAGCTGAGTGACTGTTATTTCAAACTGCCTGAGTTGTTGTAGCCTTGGAGGGTCAGTGCTGACGCCCTTCTGGTTGGCCTGTTGTCACCCAATCCTATGGGAGGGGAGTCACTCTGGGACTGGAGAGACTAGCCTATAAGCAGTGAGGGGGTATCTCATCGTAAGTGGATTTGATGCTGGTTTTGATGGGTCAGACTTTCTTGCTATTGCCCACTTGGAAAAAATGTCTGTTTATCTTTGGGTTTTGCCGGGGGACTTCAGGGGCTCGAGCAGGGCTGGAAGCGTTGAGACACGTATCATGCAAGTGCAACCAGAAGGCTTCGTGACGTGGAGAAATGTCCGAGTGCCGGGGGCCTGGGGGCCGGGGCGTCCGTCACTGGCTTATACATGTCTCTGTAGCAGACTGGCGTCCGACCCATCCACAGCGCGTTGGGTTTCTGCCACATGCTTTCTCTGCTCTTCTGGCAAGTTTTATTTGGGTGTCTCCTGGACAGAAAGCATGACATCAGCTTTTGCCACCAAGTATTTATAGCAGTGGTACCTCCTATGTGGGTCACTTTCTGTGCTGTGGTTTTCTGTAGGGAAATTGTAGCTCTTCTATCCAGAACACACCGCCCACTTCAAGGTGTTACTCATTTCTGAATACCTTCAGAGGTGGTGTGCTAACTAGAGGAAGCGGCTGGCAGGAAGTACCCCTGCCTCTCCAGCTGGTGTCTGATTGCCCAGGTGAAGGCCTGCCCAGTGCTGCCCGGGCATCTGTGATGTGGACACCTCCCCTCCTTTGTCTCCCTTTCCCCTCCCCCTCTCCCCCCCCATCTTCCTTCTCCATCACCCACCTTTTAAAAACATTTCTTATTAAAAACTGAGCAAGTGTTTTGGGTTTTGTTTCCTTTGTTTGTTATTTTCTGCTCATTGTATTTCCCCAAGTGAGTCTGGGAAAGTGCGAAAAGAAGGTTTTTCCTTCCCTTCAGTGATGGCAGGCGCTGCTCTTCACCGAGGGCCCGCTGTGTGTCGGGCATGGAGAGCCGCTTTGCACACGACACGGCCTCTCATCCCTCCCGTTAACCAGCTGAGATCGGGCTGTTTATCCCCACTGAGGGTGCTGGCTGGCGGTCAGCTCGAAGTGGTTGAGGGACCTCCCAAAGTCACAGAGCGAGGCAGCAGCACATAGAAGCCAATGCGACTGCCTGAGTCAGTCAGCTGCTCGGGTTCCAGAAGGGGCTCTAACTCGGGGAGGCAAGGAGCTGCGTGGGGCCAGACCGGCGACGTGGCCCACCTTCCACGTCTGTGCGCCCACCCCAGGCACCTACTGGAACAGACGGTCCTGCCCTCGATAAATGGGAAGTGTTTGAACGCTTAAGTTTCAGCCTCCTTTTATAACACAGGGAAGTAACGCTTTAGGCCTTAGATACAAGCATTTATTATCCTGTCACAGGGTTTAGTGATGACTTTTCTCCTACAATTAATGGGAAATGAAATCCCAGTTAATAGACACACATGTTAATTCTTTTCCTTATCGTTGTTTCGTTGTTGTCAGCAAGCAGTCAGAGCGTTGAGACACTTTGAGCTCGTTTTCACTTTCCTACTGGACGTTTTTGTTGTCCAGACTTGATTGCAGTTGAGGTTTCACGGAGCGGTGCTCATGATGAGCTAGCCCAGTTCTTATCCCACTAAACCGTGCACTGGTTGCCTGGAGAAACTGGACGCCCCGGGCAGAACAATGAATCTGACCTAACGCTCGCACCTTACAGAAGAGTTAACTTAGAATGAACCGGACGTAGATGTAAAATGCAGAACTGTGAGGATAGAAAATCCTTTGAGATCTAGGGCTGGACAATGAGTTCTTTCTTAGATTTGACACTGGAAGTACAGTCCTTAAAAGGAAAAACTGATAAATTGGACTTCATCACAATTGAAACCATTTAATCTGCTGAAGACTGTTCAGAGGAGGAGACAAGCTGCAGACTGGGAGGAAGTGTGTACAGACCACCTACTTGACAAAGGACGAGTATCTGGAATAAATAAAAACTCTCGAAGTCCAGCAGGAAAACAAGCAACCGCATTAGAAAATGGCTAAGACACTCGGAGAGACCCTGAGAGGCGACGCGGGTGGGGCGGGAGAGCCGGTGGTCAGCATCCACAGTGGCTAGGGAGATGCAGATCAAACCACACCCACCAGAACGGCTAAAGTAAAACCCAGCCACAAGCCCACATGCTGGTGGAGAAACTGCACCCCTCATGTGTGGCTGGCGGCCATGCGACATGATACAGCCATTCTGGGAAACAGTTTGGCGGTTTCTTTTTTTTTTGTTTAGATTGAGTGAGAGGGAGAGAGAGGAAGAGAGAGAGAGAGAAACATCGACGTGAAAGGGACACATCGAGTGGCTGCCACCCGCACGACCAACCAGGGCCGGGGACAAACTGCAACCGAGATACGTGCCCTTAGCGGGAGCCGAACCCAGGTCTCTCTGGACCGCAGGCCGACGCTCTAACCGCTGAGCCAAACTGGCCAGGGCTGGTGGTTTCTTAAAAACAGCCGGGCCCGCACCTCCCAAAGAACTCGGCATTGGCATCCCTGAGCGTCCGTCCCAGGGAGATGGAGACCTGTGTTCACCCAAAAACCTGGGCACCAGTGTTCACGGCAGCTTTATTCATAACGACCAGAAACGGCGACACCCAGTGTCCTCCGGGGGCGACTGGATAGACACCTGTGGTCCACCCGCAGCGGCATACTGCTCTGCCCCGAGAGGGGCAGGGGGTTCACACCACCACCCGGGCCTCTCCACAGAATGACACTGACGAAGAATAGCCCGGTCCACGCACACCCCGCCTCATGCCGGGGATAGGGCATCGTCCCCCCACACTGGGATACAGGGTTTGTCAGTGTAAAAACCAAGCAGACCTGTAGAGAATGTGTGTGTTTATTTGACCCCAAACTGATGACATGCCAGGGAGCAAGATCTCAAGTGCTCCGGAGAACAGTTTTGAAGCTTCTTTTATGCATTTCAGTTTGGTGAGGATGGAAGGAAGATTACATGGGGGTGGAAGAAAGCCAGGTGGCTGGAGTATAGGACAGAGTGCTCTCCAGGGTGGGTCCTGCGGAGGGGCAGTGACCCACAGGCGGAACAGGGCTGGGCTGGTTTAATGCCAAGGTAAACCTCTTCCTGAAGAAGTCAGAGGCCTTGGGGGGGACTACCCACCGTGACCTGCCCAGTTAGGGACTTACAATCAGATCACCTACTAACAGTCCTAAGCAGATTAGCAGGCCAGGGGTTAAGGAGTGGGGAGGAGGCCTAGGGGAAGTGGGCGTGGCTGTCAAAGGGCAACAAGAGGGATCCTGTGGGGAGAGAGTGTTCTGTATGATTGTGTCCTGGGGGGTGTACTGTGGTTTTGTAAGAGGTTACCTTTAGAGGAATTGGGTAGGGGACAAGGGATCCTACCCTATTGTTGGTTCTTAGGACTGCATGGAAATCTAGTTATTTTAAAATAAGAAGTTTAATTATTTAAAAGATGGTGGTTGCTAAACATTCCATCGATTTCATTATCCACTGGAAAACTCTCCTAGAGAATTTTTTTTTTTTATCCTCACCTGAGGACATTTTTGTATTTATCTTCAGATAGAGTGGGAGGGAGAGAGAGGGGAAGAGAGAGAAACATCGATGCAAGAGAGACACATCGACTGGTTGCCACCCACATGACCCCAACCAGGGCCAGGGACAAACTGCAACCGAGGTAC